GCCAGTTGTAGTCCTTTAACAGAATTAACATTGAGAAGGTTGAGGATTAGTCAAAACTGACTTTACATGGGAGGTATCAGTTTTCAGGGTTTAATAGGACAGAGTAACACTGTCTATTACAAGGAAATATATGTGTGCATATATGTGTGAACAATACAACAAAAACATATATACATATATAAAAACATATATAAATATGTGTTTTAGTTGTAACTTGAAATTGCTGTACTTGGAAAAATATACATGGCCAAAACATTCATGTTGGAACATAACATGCCCACAGCTTTACACGAGAAATTTATCTTTTTTTTTTGACTAGGTAATATATAGTTCATATCGTCTTAGGAGATTTGAATGGATTTCATAGATAAGTCAAATAATCACTGTAAATCAAAGTAAGTGCTATTAAGGAGATTTGAGAACTTGCTGTTTTAATATTGCACCTTGGCAGCAAACCCATGCGCTTCTCTCATCAATGTGGTCTTCTAGAATGCAGTTCTGTGGATACAGTTTGCCAGTTTACGGCTATTACTGGCAGTATTTTTGTTTTAGGAGTAATTTTTAACTGTCCTTGCTTCTCAAAATCGGATGTTTAAAAAATAAGTAAGGCTTTGTGACATAGATAACATCTATCTGAATTTTTCAGAATGCTTCTCAAAGAATCAGAATTCATACAGTAGTGTGCTTATCAAAAGCTTGTGCTGTTTGAGTCAGTGCAGATATCTGACATGATACAAAGCAGAATATCTTTTTGCTAGGAAATACTCTATCTTTAAGACTATGAATTGATATACTGGCTGAAACGTAAGGATTTATCAAGATTAGTGGATTACTCCAAGATGGTACTTGGGCATAATAGAACACTGTATATGGCTGGTTATGGTAGCTTTAGCTGCAAGTTCGTTTCATAGAATCATAGAATGTTAAGAGGTTGGAATGGACCTAGTTCCAACCCCCACACCATGGCTGGGACACCTCCCATTAGGCCAGGTTTCTCAAGGCGTTATCCAACCTGACTTTGAACACTGCTGGGGTTGGGGCCTGTTCCAGTGTCTAACCACCCTCACAGCAAAAAATTTCTTTCTGATATCTAACCTAAATTTTCCCTATTTCAATTTGTACCCATTACTCCTTGTCCTATCACTCCAGCTTCCCTTTAGGCCCCCTTTAGGTACTGGAAGGTTGCTATGGAGTCTCCATGCTACCTGCTCTTCTCCAGGTTGCAAGTTAGAGGCACTTTTACTTGCAATGAATACAGATACACGTGAGACTGTGCTCCGTTGTTGTTACAGTGACTTACATTTCCTTGTACATTTGATAATACGCTGCGGCACCACCGTGTGCACAGCATTTGTGTGATTATTGGCACCTACTTTCCCTTGCTCTCTTGATCCCTTTTTTTGTGTACCAAACCCTGGAAAAATAGAAGACAAAGGAACATCTTTGGACTTACTAATGAAGGCTGTTATGATGATAATGAATTGGGATGGAAATAGTAGAATTTTCCAGTTTTCATGGAGGAAACTGGGAGATATTTATCAAAGTGATGATTATGCAGCAAAACAAGAGTAGCAGAAATATCTGTGAGTGGAAAAGTCTGCAGGGATTTTAGGTCTGTGCTACTACCCTCTCTTCCAAATTGTGCTGGAGCTTCTTCAAGACTGTGCTATATTTTGTATAATCTTTATCTGTTGTGTTGTTTCGAATATGAACTTTAAATCAACCTCTGTTGTTGGTTAAGGCATAATATAGATACTGGCATTTTTATTCATATTTAAGTGAGATCAAGTATGTACTAAGCTTGTTTAATTGAACATCGCTGAGGCACACTATTGTTTATTAACACATGTATTACCTTGATGATTTACAAAGACCTACAACTGTGTTGTAAAGGGCTAGTTTCTTCTTTTGGCTATGCGCTTTATATTGTCGATGCAGCAATGCACAAACGAGAACTTCTACATGTTTGTCCAAGAGTTTACATATTCCAGGTGGATCAGAAGTTCCTACAAGTGATTACATTTTGGTATTAAACATCTGTGCTTGTAGTTGGGTTCTTGAACAGCCAAATTTTTGTCTGTGTTCAGTTTACTGTGATCTTAAATAACTCAACATTTCCAGATATGTTTAAAAGGCACTTATATTCTTGTCAGCCCCCTTGTGTTGCCTCTACCCCTGAATTTTCAGTCATGTGTTAGGAGAGTTGATGATCTAAAATCTCTTCTGCATAACGTATGGATGTGAAAATGCTCAGAAGGTAATAGGAGAAAATGAAGCAGTTTGAGACATCCCATAATTCAAGGATTAAGAATATCTGAAGGATATTTTTCTTTAATGGACATTTAATATGATGTACATTGTAGCGTTCTTCGTACAAGAGCAAAGCGACCTTCAGTGAAGGTCTCTTTAGTGGTGTGACTTAAAATACGAAGATTACCCATTTTTAGCTCTCCTGTTGCTTGAGCTGGGTATCATTTGCTGATTTGAAAACAGGTTTATAAAGACACTGCTGAGATGCTTACCCACTTAACCAGTCAGCTCTAAAGAAATATAATGGAATAATGTGACTTAATATAATTCTGCAACACAATCAAATTGAATATCTGTGGGAATCTTCTGAACACATAGTCAGCAAATATTGGAAGACTGAATTGAGGGCAGGGTCTATATTAGATTCTTGTCTAATCATGTGCACAGAAATGCAAAGTATCTTAGAACTGTGTGTGTGTAACCTTATCTGTAATAACCTTTCACTTGATCTGACAATGGCATCATGTCTTTCTTAACCTTACGTGCCAATTTGATCAACACCATCTTGACTAGAACAGTAAGTTCCTCAACACTGTGACTCTGTGGCCTGAATTAAGACAATATTTATTGTAACCATCTCCATACAAAGCAGAAAATGTAGCAAAACAGAGTAGAAATGTGGTTCGTTGTTTTAATGAACATGTCCTGCCAACCTAGAAATTAACTTTTGAAAAGGGCATGGGAAGGTGATTGATTTTCGTGAATTAGTAAGTATTTATTAAGAAAATATCTTTATTTGTGAGCTAAGTATGTAACAAAATAATCTGTGTACTCCGTACACTGTACAGAAAAAGAAGGAGAAAATATTTGCAAAATGAATTGAGAAAGTTTATGTGCCAGGAAATTTAACAGTTGCATTATTCCTGTTCTTAATCTTCCAATAGGCAGCATCTGCATTATACATGTATGCTTAGTAATTCAGCTTAATTGGTTTGCAGGGAAGGATACAATGCATTAGATCATTAACTAAAATTAGGTATGTCAGGGACTTGCCCCAAACCAACTTATATTTTTGCTGCTGTCAGCATAGAATCATTTTTGTAGATGGGCTATGTAGAACACTTGTCAGATGTTTTCTAAAATCCTGGCATAGAATGGTAGAATATGGGGCAGTATAAAACCAAGTTGTTGGTTTATATCAGTAGAAAGTAGCCTTACTATGTTGTCTGCCTCTGGCTGTGGAGGTAGGATGTTAGAATCTTCTCTAGTGACTGTTTTTGGAAACAACTGTAGCACAATGTATGATGGAGACCAGGTTACTGGAGTTTTCATTCTGCTGGTGTAGTTATTTCAGGAAGAAGGGCTAGGAAGAGAAAGAGGAAGGAGAATGTGTTTATATAGCTGCAGTCTAACATCACTATTTTTAACCTGAAAAGAAACTTTTATTTGAATCAAGTTTAATTAAGATTAGGAAATACTAATTTAGTGCTTTAAAAAATAGACACAAACAACCAACTCCCCCTCCCCCAAATGCTCTGGGTTTTAATAAATGATACTACTTTTACAATGAGTACACAGCAAAGCTCTTAGGTCTGTATACATGGTCTTCTAGATCCTTGATTTTGGCCTTCCGGGATTTTATTTTGCTAACTACAATTTTACATTATGAACTTCACATATAACATATGCATGTATTACATTTTCTGAATTTAATGCCTGATTGGAAGCTGTTATTACTTTTTGCCTCTACAATTGACTGTGGATTGCAGCATGGGCACTGTTGCTGCTATACAAGGAAAATTGGTTTACCCACACTTAACTTTGCTACATGGGGACAATTAAAAAAGGGTAACAGGAATTAATTTTTTCAAGTGTCTGATTAAACCGTATGTAAGCTCCTACTCTTTTCAGAATTAAATATGCTTTAATTTAGTCTAGTTTAATTATTTGATTAAAGTAAATTAAACCAAACTAGCTTAATTCAGGATAGGTGTTTATAGGTAGCTTCAAATTACTCAGTTAAATTTAAAGCCAGGCATTTGTTTAATTTGATGAACTTTTCTGAATGTCGCTATATAGCAAGCTGCCTATAAGAACAACTTTTTTTAGTAAACATGTCTGCCTTAATGCATGATTTTTTGTAGTCTCATTCTCTTCTGCTTCCAGTTGCATGATTCTTCCAGTAGTTTTATTGTTGTGTTACATCTTATTTACAGCGTTAAATATGACCCCCCATAATCATTCCTGTGAAATTTGTTATTGGAAACCCATAAATGAATGGGCAGAATGCACAGGGTGATGCTGTTTTTTTTTCCAATTCTAAACCAGAAAATCTTTCTAGTAAATAGACTCATTGCAACAAAATTTTCTTTCTTTAACTTGAACCATATTTCTTCAAAGGGATTCTCCAGCTCATGGTTGTGTTGTCTCGAAGAACTGCCTGTTTTTTGAGGCTTGTTGAGAAGATCGCCTTTAACTATATTACTATAAGAAATTAGTTCTGTAAAATTGGTAGATAATACAGACTGAATTTTATTACAAAGACAGACAAAAGTATATATGCAATTATTATAAGTATTTCAATTAATTTGCTGACATTCACAACTCAGAATAAGAATGATGCTGAGATTTGATTCTGCTTGTGTTCAGGTTTGTGCACTTAGCAAAGATTTTCTAAATGCTTCCACAAACCTTATTGGTTCAGAAGTATAACCCTTGTTCTCTTTTTGTCTGGTGTTTTTTTTTGGTAGGATGATGAAGTGGTTCTGCAGTGCACTGCAACTGTTCAAAAGGAGCAACAGAAATTGTGTCTTGCTGCAGAAGGATTTGGCAACAGGCTTTGCTTTTTGGAATCCACATCAAATTCTAAGGTACTGCTGAGTGTTTTAATTGTCATGCATGAAGCAAGGATAGTTATAACATTGCTTGCTTTGATGTGATACACACAAGTCTATCAAGGAGTATGGACAAATAAAATTTATCAATAATATAAGAAATGTTTAATCCCCTTTCAAAGTTTAATTGTTCCTTTGTCATGGCCCTTTGACTGGACTCTAATGCTGTGCTTTTTGTTTTGGGTTCACTTTAAAACTAATTAGCTGCTGAAGTCCATCTCAGTAATACTCGTTATTTTGCTTGTCCAAACTCAGTTGTAGTGAACCACAGAGCAACTTCTGTGTACTGCACTTCAAAGATGAGTTTGATTACTCTGATTTTAGCTCCACAGGAAAGAGAGCAATTGTTTTATTTGTGGTTAGTTTTTATTCTGGGGTATTTACATGGAGATTATTATTTTAAGACCTAATTCCCTAACAGGGCATAGTGCAATTTCAGAATTATCTCATCTAAACAGTTTGTTATCTAAGCCTCCTCTAACTCTGCTATGTATGCAGTAGATAGAGTAGTTTGAAAAAAAAAACTTTGCTATTTATTGCAAAGTAGGGATTTTGTTTCACAATCATATATGCTCAAATGTTTTGAAGACACAAATAGGCCTTCTGAGGGCAGAACTGATTTTGTGACCAAATGGATAATGGATATACTTGGACATTTTATCCATAGAAAGGGAGGAATGTTGCTTAATGTATTTTTCTTCAGTTAAAATATAAATATGTGATGAGAAAATATAAAAAGGGTAAAGCATCTGGAAAGACATTGAGAAAGACTTAGAACAAAAAATGATGTTTTTTATCTTGCCAGCTTCCATAACATCACTTTAATTCTCTCTGATTCTTCACAGAGTACTGCTTCATTTTCTGTCTCATCATTTTGAATGTATTATTCATAATAATAAATTTTTCACTAGGATATTAATGATTCATTATAATAGCAGTGATCTTGATGAATTAATTCTTGCCACTCTGTTTTAAGTGAATCTTTTTAACAATAAAAATGTGCTTGGATAGAAGTGGTTGTAGTACTCGTTGCCTGTGAGGCCAGAAAGATCTATTTAATGAATTTGTTATCATTCAGTAAGTTTGGATATTAAATCTACAGTCTCTCTCTCACAGTGTAAAACTTCTGAACATTCTTGTCTTTAAGGAATACGGTGTAGATGTCATATCAGTTTTCTATGCTTGTTTTGTTGATACTGCTTTTTCTCCTTGTTTTGTGAAGCAGTCTGTATTCTGCTCATTCTGCATGGGATTGGGGGAAAAAAGCAAACAAAAGAAAACTCATGCAGCTCCTCTGTGTTTCAGTTTTTAAGGGCTGACAGTTTCCATCATTTGAAGTCATTTGTAGATATAAGTACTGAGGGAGCCATAAAATTACCAAATCTTTAAAGCAAAGTGGACTATAAATAAAAATGTTTTTCTTCCTAATGTCTGTGTCCATAGAAGGTTACTATTGCATTATATAAGGAACAACATAGGAAATATTCAAAGAGGCATATGATAATTTGAAAAAGGTTCCAACAGAGTTCTTGAACTGGTTAAAAAATTTCCATGCATGTCTTGAAGACTATTTTCCAGTTTTAATGGGATTGTGATGCACTTTAATGCAAACAGTAGTGTGGCATCTGAATTCCCACCAGGTATCAAGGATGAGGTGTAAAACCAAGCACCAGTAATAAGCCAAACTCAAATAATAGACTTCAGCTATCATCCTGGATTTGCATTCTTGTTACTATCCCCTCATTCTCTCCAATATCTTTCAAGATGCGGGTCCTCATGATGTAGCTGATGTTCTATTATCACAACTTCTTTGCATGCACTTTCCTGCCCTAGGATCACTAAATAATTCACACTACTAAAATATGGTCAAAACGAAGATACGTATTGATAGAATAATTTGGCAACTGCTGACTGTTAATACTTATCCCATTACAGCAATAACACTGGAAGACCCATAATGAAAATTGCTTAATGAATTTTATTTTCTTCTGTTCAAGTTTAAAACACAAGTGTTTCTTTGGAGGGTCATATAGATTCCCTCAGCATCAGAGGAAAACAGGAGATTTTGAAAACATCATACTAACAAAAGATGAATAAATTAGCAAACACTTTAATAAGCATTATCATTTCATGTGTTCACACTTAAAAACTGTTTCCAAATTCCATTTTATTCACTTCTTTTGACTTGCTTGTCAAATCATTTTACTGAGCAAAAATATCCTCTTTATTTCTTTATTTTTCTTTATTCTGCAAATGGATTTTTCTTCTGTATATATTGTAATGTGTTTGGATTTTAAATAAGGAATTAAATAGTGTTTGGAGGTACATTGCAACTTGGTTTTAGGCTTGAGGTTTATTTCTTTGTAGCAAATACAGAGACATCTTTTGCTACTAAATTTGAAATGGTACTCTTTCTAAGGAAAAAATTTATCACAAAATGGCATTTTAACGGAACCAAATTTCAAAGTATATCAAAGTTATGACTCTGAGTTTGTGAATGTTTTTATGCATTGGTTTGGTCATTCTTACAGGAAGGGAGTTGAGCTGAGAGCTGGGATTGTTCAGCCTGGAGAAGAGAAGCTCCAGGCAGACCTTAAAACAGCCTTCCATTACTTAATGAGGACCTTCAGAAAAGAAAGTGAAGGACTTTTTTATCGCGGGCTGTAGTGATAGGATGGGGGTAATGGCTTTAAACTGAAAGAGGGTAGATTTAGATTAGCTATTAGGAAGAAAGTCTCTACTCTGAGAGTAGTGAGACTCTTTAACAGGTTGTCTAGAGAAGTTGTGGATGTCCCATTCCTGACAGTGTTTGAGGCCAGGTTGGATGGGGCTTTGAGCAAACTTGTCTAGTGGAAGATGAGGGTTGGAACCCAACCATGGCAGGGGTGTTGGAACTAGATGATCTTTAAGGTCCCTTGCAACCCAAACCTTTCTATGATTCTATGTAGTCTAGCAAGTGCTGAGTAAAGAGGAAAAACAGTAACTCCCTGCTACACAAGTTTTAGCACAGCACAGGAGGCTGTCGCCCGTCTTTACTGCCAGGGCACATTGTGGAATCATGCCTACCTTGCTGCACTCAGGCCCTTTTCTGCAAAGCTGACTCCCAGATTGGGTCAGAGGGTACTGGGTCTTTGTATAGCAAATGTATTCTTGATTTGAAATTAATTACCTGAGCCAGTGGATTGGATTGCAGTTGTGAAGGACACACAGATGGACTAGATTCTCTATGAGTGATAGCAATAGCCTTGGGCAAATCAGGCATGTGTCTATTGTAACATTGTTTTGAGTTCTACAAGGGACTGTTCTCTAGTTTTGGCTGATAATGAGACAAAAGCTATTTTGCCCTTTGCTCTCTTTATTTTATTTTAACTTGGTGTTGTGGTTTAACCCCAGCTGTCAGCCGAGCGCCACTCAGCCGCTTGCTCGCTCCCCCTGTGTTGGGATGATGAAGAGAATCAGAAGAGTAAAAGTGAGAAAAATCATGGGTTGAGATAAAGACGGTTTAATAGGTAAAGCACAAGCCACGTGTGTAGGCAAAGTAAACCAACAAGTTCATTCACATCTTCCCATGAACTGGCAGGTGTTCAGCCATCCCTGAGAAAACAAGGCTGGTTCATGTGTCCTGGTGATTTGTGAAGACAAATATTGTCACTCCGAACACCTCATGCTTCCTTCTTCATTCTTCCTGCTTCATACACCGAGCACGTTATCATATGGTATGAAACATCCCCTGGGTCAGTTGGGATCAGCTGTCCTGGCTGTGTCCCCTCACAACTCCTTGTGCACCCCCAGCCTACTCGCTGGTGGAGTGGGTTGAGAAACAACAAAGGTCTTGACTTAGTGCAAGGCTGCAAATTACTCAAATTGGTCCCATATCTTGAAGAGCAAAATAATAAATAAAAAAGATGTCAGGTCTAAATTATGTATACTTTTATTAATGGATGACAGTCCTGAATATAAAACAATCTTGTCCAAGATGAATACATGACTACCTCATCTGTAGAGGTGTAGTAGCTTAAGTGAAAAATAATTATACTTCAATCTCTACTAATTTCAAATCAAATCTATCTCAAAATTGATTTTGTTCTCAGGATAGGTTGCATATTTTAAATGTATAAAAATATCAGATATATAAACCATCAAAAATTTTTAACATTGAAAAAGTAGCAACAGCAAGAATAACAAAATCCAAGGAAAACATACTGAAGACAAAATTTAAAAAGCTTACTTTTCTTATCTCTTGCAATTGTTTCTTCAGCAGGTTTTGTCAAATCTATAGCATAAATTTTAATTTCTTATGTAAGAAGAAAATAAGGGATGCCTGTCAGAAAAGAAAACAAAACACCCCACTGTTGTGGTTTAACTCAGCCAGCAACCAAGCCCCATGCAGCCACTCACCCACTCCCCCACCAGTAGGATCAGGGAGAGAAACAGAAGGATAAAAGCTAGGAAACTCAGGTTGAAATAAAGACAGTTTAACAGGGAAAGCAAAAGCCATGCACACAAGCAAAGCAAAACAAGGAATTAATTCACTGCTTCCTATGGGCAGGCAAGTGTTCAGGCATCCCCAGGAAAGCAGAGCCCCATCACACATAACGCTTACTTGGGAAAACAAACACCATCATTCCAAACGTTCCTCCTCTTCCTCCTTCCTCCTCCCGCTTTATATACTAAGCATGATGTCATATCGAATATCCCTTTAGCCAGTTTGGGCCACCTGTCCTGGCTGTGTCTCCTCCCATGCACCCCCAACTTCCTTGCCAGCATGGCAGCATGAAAAACAGAAAAGCCCTAACCAGCACACTTGTAAACTTCCTTTTTGACAATTGTCTATAGGTACTTTTGTTTTGTCAGTGTTTCCTGTACTTTTAAATCTATTCCTTGTGTGGAAGACCATCTCTTCTATTAAAAAAAAATATCATTTGTTAACTTATCTCAGTGACTAGTGAGATCTATTTCTGTACATTTGAAAATTA